AAATATAATATCACCAAGTGGCCATCTATCATCAAGTGTATTCAACACCAAAACAATTTGTAAAACTACATATATCACTAATGCTGCCCCATTAAACACATATAAGATGATCCATAATGCTACTGGGCTCAATGGACTGAATCCAGCTATGCCATTGAATGTTGCAATGCTTATGAAATATACTGCACCAAATACAACCAATGAAGAAATACGAATTGACTAAATTTGAATGGTTGATGAGAGTGGATCAGAGTGTAAGAAGCATAAGAGAGAAGGAGGTTATGAATGAGTGAATGAATATGACAATAATAATAATTAACAGTAATAATAATCATTAATAGTGATAATTAATAGTAATTACCCAAAGCGATAATGGAGTACCATCTTCTGCAAATTGAAACCCAACAAATCCATTCAATAATAAACACCAAAAAGTTGTAGTTATAAGACTTACATGTGCTGCAGTAAAATACTAATTAATAATATATGTGTGCGTATATATATTTATTAGAATAATAATTTATTATAATCAATATAATCTCAACAGGTAACACAAGAATATTGTTAACTTACAGGGTATGTTGGTGATGCTGTTGGAATAATTCCTGAAACTAATAAAAATTCCAAGAATGTAACCATCATATATAAATAGAAAAACATTACAATTTCCTTACGACCTATATATAATTAATTAATCAATTAATTAATTAATTATCATAATTTAATTTGTTAATTTATCCTTTGAAATTACTTACCAACAGCTGTATATTTTGATTTTATATGATATATCATAATAGAAGTCATAACCAATGCAATTATATTAATAATGATAGTGGCTAAATTTTATAAATAGGGAGGGAGATATAAAATTTATTAGTTCAGATTTATTAATTTTGTTAATTAAAAGAAAAACTTTTCCAATGATAATAAGTCACCTGGTTGAAAAATAAGTGTTTTAACGATTTCCACATTTCTTGAATAACAGGTTGGTTCTATACCTTCCACTGCTCCAACTAGTGGACAAACAGTTAAAGCAACCATCTCACAAATATCTCTAAAATCTCCAAATTGTACCATTTTATTTTATACTTGTAACAAAAAAGAACGATTCCAATTTTGAAATTGCTGGAAATTGTTATTCTGAAAATATTATTTATAATGCTTGTTGTAATGTATCGGGATTGTTATATTTGTGTTTAAAATTAAATTTTTTTTTCACACGTGTCACAAAAATAAAAAAAGAAAATTTTTATTTATATATTTACATATTTAAGTTGATTTATATTTATATCCACATTAATCACATATAAACAACAATCCGTCGTCTTATTTTATTGTCCATATTAAAAATATATACCATTAGCATTTTTTCGTACGCATACATTCTAAATATATCTCAATTAACCAGTAAATATTTTTACGCGTCATATACACTAAAATAGCTGGACAAAAGTATTTGAACACGTGCTTACACTAATTAATAAAAAACTTACATAACATTACCTAGGTTTTGATAATTATATATTCGAAATATCAAGATCAATAAAAAAACTAAATCCAAATAAAAAATTTAAACATTTTGCTATATTTTCACGTTTTTTAAAAATTTACATAATAAAAAATTGTAAATTTTATAAATGAAGGATATTGTTTTGAAGAATAAATATATGAAATTTCGTATTTCTATCATGCCTAGAAAATTAATGATTAAAAAAAATAGTGATAACATCTGAATCGCAGTCAATGAAAAATTAATAAATAATCTCAATTTTGAAAAAAAAAACATTTTTGAAAATTTTTTATTAAATTTGATACATGAAAGCTAGCAACGTGAAATTTCGAATATATAATTATCGAAACCTAGGTGCATAATGTTATAAATTTCATGCGATGTTGTTATGTAAGTTTTTTATTAATTAGTGTAAACACGTTATCAAATACTTTTGTCCAGCTAGTGTATGTATATATATCTATGTTTTTTGCGTTGATTTTAGAAACTTCAAATAAACAATACCATCATCTTCAGATTTTTATATACAATTATTTGATAAAGCTAGCATTAAAGACCTGCTTTTAAAATGTTAGGACGAACTTTTAAAAGTTTAACTCTAATTTCTGCATCATAAAATCTACTCCATTTAATAAATTTACAAATCGTCAAAAAGTTTACTAAGGTATTTTGATCATCCACTTTAAGTTATTATTTTTAAGGATGAGATTTTGTGATAAAAATTTTTTTTGAAAGTACCACAACATAAATATTATAATCTGTTTCCATTAAGCATTTAAATATGCAATAATACAAAGGATAGAAAAAAGAATCATAAGTTAATTGATTGTAATAATAAATTTTGGTAAAAATAGATAAATTAAGTACTTGGATACAAATTTAGAATTTTGTGAATACTTAAATCATAATTTAGTAATCCTAGATATTTTAATATTTTTTTAATATATAGAAAAAAAATGAGCCATCATTGTAAAGTATTACTATTTAGGTCCTTTTCGATCCTTTATCAACATTTTTTAAAGATTTATCAAAAATAAACACCGAGAAAACAAAAATTATACCACCTGATACATATTGTTTAGTTCAAGATTTAATTGATCTAGCCATCCAAGGGCCACAATTAATCAATTTTGAAATGGCAAATGTTTTGATGCGTACAAAACAATACTAAATTCTGAAATATCACAAATCTCATGTGATGACTACTTTTAAAGACGAAATATAAAAAATTTTAATATTATCTCTAAAATTTGATCAGCAACCTATCAGCCTCTTAAAAGGTTACCCTCCAATCCGAATATTACCGGATTTGTTTACTATTACAAACATCTGGATTAACATTAAGGTTTCCGGTTCAAACTATTTTTGAAAAAACCCGGCTTTGACAATAGTTTGGGTTCATTCAGAAGTTTTTATATTGAAAATTTCTTGTTAAGCTATAAGTCTCCAGCCAGATAATAAATGAATGATTCTCGCTCGATAAGTCGGTTCACGTGATTTTCGTGAATCTTTGAGAGATAATCTTGACTATTTTTAGTAATGTATGATCATAATATACGTAATAATAAATAATACAATAATAGTAATAATAATAACAAATAAATATCTGTTTCGTAAATAATATATTATATTGTTGTATTTATTATCAGGGCGTGAAATCCTATTATAAAATCTCGGCACTCCGATAAAATTTTTACTTATTATTCGTTTTATTCGTTTTACAAAATATAAAATATCAATCACAACTTGATGCAACAAACTCTAGATTGTTGTTGTTGTTGTTGTTGTTGTTGTTGTTGTTGTTGTTGTTGTTGTTGTTAAGGAATTGTAAAATTATAAATAAAGTCTTATTTCCTTTAACAAGATAATATAAATTACAATGATTATATATTATGGTTACTAGTACTATGACAAGAAAAGAAAATAAAATGGTCAATTACTTCTGCTATCACTATCATCATTACGAAGGAAAAATAAATTGATAATTTTAATTGGATTAGCAATGTGAATATATTATTTTATTCGAATTTTTTATTCGAATAAACTTTCATTATAATAATAATAATAACAATAAAACGAATGATTCGAACAAACCTTATTCGAATACTAGCTAGTTATTATAATTTTTTTGGTCCGAGATATTTGATAAAATTTCCTCAAACCGGGCATTTCCCCAATACTTTTTGATTTACACATTTCGCGCCCTGATCAATTATAATAATCCGGGCACATTTTGCTTCACTTCTGCGTGCAATGTTTTTGAAGCTTTAACTGTAACAAATCAGATAATCTATAGTAAAGATAAGTACTAGAGAATAAAAAGATAATCACGTGGTAATTCTAAACATGATTTTGGGGTGTTACTTGGTCAAGCCTTTTCTACAAGGGCGTCTTGCCCAATATTCAATGCCTTTCCATGTTAAAAATTCCTTCTACAGTCATAAAAAAGTTTGGAATGTTGATGGTTGATTATCTAATTTGGCAAATAAAAAATCACGTATCTTTTCTAAATTCGCAAATAATTTTTATTAAAGTTCATGTGCAAAACTACCAAACTTGGTATAGTAATAGATAGTTGCTCGAAATATTATTACTATTATTGCGTGTTTTTAATATTACCCGTAAAGACTTGAAAGTTGATTAATCAAGCTGTCCAACTGTAATGTACAAGATTACTAAAACTGAATTTATAAAATATACTTAAGATATTGTAATTCATATTTTTATCCGACCTTTTCAAATTTTCTAGTAATATCATATTCATTTGATTTTTCCTTGGTATTCTCAAAGTTTTTATCTCACCATCAATTCAGAGTCGCCACGAATTAAAATGATATCTTTTAAATCATTCAACCTAAAGAAAAATAATTTTGTCTAACAATCTTTCTTCTTTTCTTTTTTGCTGTTACTTTATTCATATCAGCCGATTTGGTTTTTTGGAACCTTTTTCAAACGTTATATCTTACCGTGTTTCGACATATTTTTAATGTGTAACTGACCAGTAGAATGATAATTAACCCTAAAAAAATTTATTTGCTTCGCTAAAAAAACTATTCAACAGCCCGTCAAATCAATGGTACCACCTCAAAACCAAAGGGTTTTTGCTATTATAAGTATTCATAACATTATGATCATACTGCGCTGAATTTTTGGGGTTCAACAAGATCAGCGCATATGTGCCGTGCGTGGGCATTGTATTAAAAAGTTTGTGTTTTAATAACGTGTTTCTAATTTTTATTGTTTGAAAATAAAAAAAGATCGTGTAAATTTTATCAAATTTCCCTACTATTATTACTCAATTAATTATATAATTTTTGTATTTTATTAATATTTCTAAGCTCTTGAGAATGAACGAACGGTATGTTGGTTTGAATGTAGTAGTAGGCACATTAAGTGGAGTATTTGTCGTAAGAATAATTTTAACATAATAATTTAATAGATTTTGACATCAATTGAGAAGGCCATCCTTATTACTAGAAGCCTATTTCATGAGACTTTGTTTTCAACTTGGATCATTTTGTTTATTCTTTTATGTTAAATATAAATAAAATTTTTTTCTAACATTTTAACTTTGGGGTTTCAAATACAACAATATGAACACTATAAAAAAGGGACAGTATAATTTCAATAATAGTGCAGATCTTAATTTTTCTCGGGAAAAATTTTTTGAATTGACGGACCTTATCAAATTTGGGAAAATATACAATTTTCAACTAATCAATTTATCTCCTATTAAAGCATAAAATTCACAAGACTTTGATGTAAATTCAATAGCTGAATCTTTATTAAAAATCAATAATGCTATCAAAATTATCGCTTAAAGGAGATTTATCTGAAGAATCATCAGAAAATAAAAAGAAAGATCAAAAAAAAAAATCAAAGAAAAGAAAAAAAACTAGAAATGAAGAAGTGGAAGATGATGAATTTTCAGAAGAAACAATTCGTCAAAAAGTTAGAGAATATAATATACATTTA